CGCCCTCGAGAATTTCCTATTTTAAGTCTTACCTGTTGGAGCAGCTACCATGATCCTGGCCAACATAAAGTGTGACTTCGTACCTATTTTGGCAAAGACCGTCCCCCCCACACACACACATACATCATACATGTGGTTCTCTCTGGCTGTGTGTATTATGTGTGGAGTTGTTCTTTATCTGGTCTGTATTTACAACAACCAACGAGTTATCTCCTAGGCAGTAAGACAAAATGTTTCAGAAGTGACGGCAGCTGTCACGCACATGAATCCAGCATCTTGGAGATGTGAGGGAGCAGTGACCAGAAAGAAGCCAGATCCTCAGCCAGGCAGAGTCCTCGACTGATCACATGACTGTTGACAGCCAGGCATAAGCAAACATACACAAGAGGATGCTAATCTACTGGCCCTAATAATGACAGACATTTATAGCGCCTTCCTTCACAAAAGTCCTTCATGGCACACAATTAAAGGCAGCCGCAGACAAAAAGTCTTTTCAGCTGAGACTCATAAAAGGAAAAGCTATTCAGCCTTCCTAAGCACTAAAGCAAGCCAAAGCCATTGGATGGTGTGTGTGTGTGTGTGTGTGTGTGTGTGTGTGTGTGTGTGTGTGTGTGGTGGGAGTAAGGGGTGCAACATCTTCATGGCTCAGGCCCCCATTTGTGGCATGTTATATTTAAGACAATCAAACTGGTCTGAAGAAAGAAAACAAGCTTGAAAGACACAAGGCCCTCAAGCTACAGGAGGAAAAAAAGCAAGACGAAATCTCATCTGAGCACAAGCGAACTGTCCCCATGTGAGGCTGTGGCCCTGTTTGCCTGTCTGTCAGATCTGGCAATGTGGTATGATTGGATTTGGAAGCTTAAGAAACAGGAGATTTGGGGTTGGACATGAATAATCTGTGGATGAACCCCTGTTGCTTATTGGATTTAGAACACTGCAAATGAGGTCCCTGGGATTTCCCTGATTCCAAGTCACCCTCACAGGACTGAGAAGTCATCTCCAGACTCTGGAATCTGGGGACAGGACTGGTGACATGTGTACCAAATGAGACATTTTAAAAACTCCTCCTGAGGACACACACACCGAGCCCTTCCACCAATGTTCACAAAGCACTCAGATTTCTTGTTTCCTTTTACCACCATCCCTGCAAGGTGTCCTAAGTGCAGAGGAAGCCTGGGTCATTTCCCTGGGTGCCCACGAAGGTGGGAAATGTCAAGTCAGCCTCCAATATGGTACCCGAGCTGCTCTTCTCTGACAGCCACTGCTCTGTAACGGGGAGTTTAGACACGCTGACTCAGCCGAGTGCAAGAAGAGACAGTGGCCAGGCCTGTAGGGGTTCCCAGAGCAGTGACACAGCCACTGTGGTTTCTCCAACTCCACGCTCTTGTCCAGAGCCTGGCATCTTTTAACCCTTTCCTGGCTCTCTCCCTTTTTCATCGCTCCCCGCTTCCTGTCTCAGAGCCTTTGCACCTGCTGGACCCCCACCTGGGCCATGTCCCCTCTGCCTTTCTGCTAATGATGTCTCCTCAATCTTAGCTCAATGTTACTTTGTCTAAGAATGACCCCCAGAGTGATCTAGGCCCTAGTCCCTGGAGATGCCAACTGCTACGTCAGATGGCAGAAGGGGACTTTACAGGTAAGTACTATGTGATCTGGGTGGGCCCTAAATGCGACTGTCCCATCACATGAGAAGCCAAAGGAGGTCTGGCCAAAGCAGTTGACATAACCATGGAGACAAGATGCCCCATGACTGCTGGTCTTAAGATGAAAGAAGAAGCTAGAAGCCATGGTGGGAAACGCAAAAAGCTGGATCCGGTCTTCCAGAGCGTGCCTCCGTGTCAGTTTAGTGAGCGCCACTGAAGCCTTCATAACCGTAAGGGAGCAAGGATGTGCTGCCTGACGCCACACAGTCAGGGTAACTTGCTAGGAATGGAATAGTTTAGAGGGATCTGTACCTGAGTGGCCTTGCTTCCTCAGCAGGGGTGTGAGGCCCAGACACACCACTTTAGGAAGCTGCTGCTGCAAGGCTGTTCGGCATCACAAACAGCCCACTCCCAGAGATCCCAAGTATTTTGTCAGAGTTAGGACAAACACCTGCTTCAGCCCACAGATGTAGAAACTGAGGCTCGGGGAACCCTGCAGCTGGGCTGAAGGATGTGTGTACTGTCAATCAAGCCTTTCAATACTGGCCCTTCGCTGCCATTTGGCGTTTTCAACATGAACAATTGTGCAGGCTGCCGACTGCTTGGCAGCAATCCCATAATGACCCAATCATGAAATAATCTAGCCGTCCAGATTCGAATTGTTTGTGGCTATAGTGACTGGATAACTGGCTAGTTAATATTTCATTTCCTGGGAGCCAAGCATATGGTTTTACAAGGAAACCAAGCTCCAAAATACTTGTTAGCCCTGATGATAATTACTAGGTAATTGGCTAGAACACACCATTGTGGATTTATCCAGAATATGCCAGGCAATTATCTGGTCATATGCTCCCTGTAAAAATAAAACCGAGGTCCCCCAAATTGTTCTAGTCAGTTGGCTAGCATCCAAAAATCAAGCATAAACAGCCAGTCATACGAATGCAAGTGATTAATCAAATTACTCAGGTATCTGGTTGCAAATAGAACGTTCAGATGGGTACTCTGAAGGACCAACAAGTAGATGGAGCTAAATAGGGGACACACCAAGCTTTCCCCATGATAGATATGTAAAAACGCAATTATCAGGGGATAAATGCTGCCTTCTTCAGAACTCATCTGGTGTCCTAACACAAAACACTAGACACTTCAGAGACCAATTATACGTCTCTAAGCCGCCAGGGATATTTTTTTTTAATCGCGGTGCCAGGCAAAGACTGGGTGCTTTGTGAAATCTGTGGGTTGTTATGGCACATGGGGTGGGGGCCCAGAGTTCTGTCACAGAATAGAGGGGCTGCAGCGCAGCTGGGCTTGAGGGATGAGCAGTACATTTTCACAATGGTTACTCATTTTCTGAATCTGCTCATGGGGTCCATACATGTGCAATGAGCCACTCTTTGGGAAAGGGGAAGGGGAGGACAGAAGGAATGGGTCCCTGAGATCCATGGGTCACTAGACTTGTATATCTCAAGTGAGAGGCTCCTAACTTCCTGGAGAGAGAAGCTGCTTCCTGATGAGAGAGAAGCACAGTGTGCAGAGAGGGTCTCGGAAGAGGGCTGTAAAAAACGGCCATCTATCATCCTCTCCCTGAAGTCGGCCACTCCAAGGGCAAACGTTTTGAAGTTGAACTGTTTTGAACTGAGACCCCCCCCCCGCTGCTAGGATACCTACTGACTAGCAGACGGGTAAAGATAGGCATCTACAAGTGACCAGATCCTCAATGCTGCCAGCAGACCACAGCCACCCGGTGGAGTCGTGCCACAGAACAGGACTCAACCCAGGACAGAGGGAAGTCACTGAGCTACAGAGGAGTTAGTCCTTTACTCTATCAAGCGTCTGTAGCCTGCTCCCTGACTTGATGACTTGAGAGCCACTTCTATCATGGGTAGGCATGACAGCCCCTGCTTGCACACTAGTTTGAGGAGAGGCAAAGACCTCTACCGCCATCCCCACGTTTTCAGGCACTTGTCATTTGATACACAAGCCCCCGCTGTCCCATCATTTGCACATCCCACGATGACTTGATAATTTTCCTGCCACCCCGGGGCAAATAAACAAACTCAAGGGCACAGACTGCAAATACACCACCTCTTCTGAACCTGTGGCCTTCTCCAATACTGTCCACGATGCAGGACTAACTCATAGTGAGATTCTACTGCTTGAATTGTGTCCTAGAAGCAGATGACTCCATTTGGCATCCTAGGCCACACCCAGAATTCCAAAGCTGTAGCCAGTTCCAACTAATACAATAATGGAGGATTTGAAACAAGTCGATGAACGGTTCACAGCCTTTCAGCCTCACCCCATGCTACTTTGCTTTCCCAGCAATTCACCACCACCTGCCATTTTCTGGGATGTGTGTCTACATTTGTGTGTTTGTGCGTGCATGTATGCATGTGCATGTATGCATGTAGGTCAGAGGGCAACCTTGGCTGTCACTTCTCAGGCTGCCTGTCTTGTTTTTTTGACACATGGTCTCTCACTGGGACTTGAGACTCTCTGAGTAGGCTAGGCCGACTCACCAGCCAGCCCCAGGAATCCTCCTGTCCCTTGCTGTCCCCACATTTGGATTATAAACAGGCATCAACACACCTAGATATTTCTTATCTATATCATGGGACCAGACTCAGGTAGTGACTGGCCCATCTCCCCAGTTTTTTGTTTTGTTTTTTTGCATGTATATGAGTTCATGTGCTTATGGGTGCTCACGTACATGAGCTTACATGTGTGTGAAGGCCAAGGTCTTATATCAATGTCATCTGACATTTTTTAAGGTTGACCTTTATTAACTGCCCTCCCCCTACCCCCAGACCCGTGCAGTCCATGAATGCTGGACACTCAGAACAATGGCAGCAACAGCCACATGCACATTCTGTAAAACACCGAGAACCACAATCATAGCCATTCACACCTCAGACAAAACTATGGGGTAGATCTGGCCTGCCACTTGGGTTTATAAATAAAGTTTTATTGCAACCCTGCCATGCAAACTCATCCACATATCATCTATGGCTGCTTTTGTGTGACAGTGGTGGAACCAGCTTGCTAAGACAGACCCTGTGCAGCCTTCGAGGCTGATTTACATATCCCACTGGGCCTGTGGCACAAGCTGGCTGACCCATTATGTCTAAAGCAATCTGCTTGTTTTATGTAAAGAGAGACAGGAGTCAGAGACGCACCCATGCAGAGTACAGTCAGGCATGGCTTTTCTGGGTCCTAATGCAGTGTTCTTTCCAAATACTGCTAACGCTTAAAGGGAGTTTAAAAGATGGTGAGTGAACCATGGTCGGAAGACCTGAAGACCTATTAGCTTGAACCAAGACCTGAGAAGCCCCCATGGGAGAGGGAGCCGGGACTGACCTGGTGATGATGGCCAGGTGGGGCGGGCTCATGCAGGCTCCCATGAAGAGCACCACATTCTCATGTCTGGTCTGCCTGTAGGCCATCACTTCCCGCTTAAAAGCCTTGAGCTGGTCCTCGTTGTCCCTCTCGATGTCAATCAACCGGATGGCCACCTCGCCATGCCAGCGTCCGTGGTACACCTGCCCGAAGCGACCCTTCCCGATGAGCTCGCCAATCTCTAGCTGCTCAAAGGGGATGTCCCATTCCTGAAGAAAGATGCTGGTCTGGCTGGCCTTGCGTGGGAAGCTCCGGGCTGAGAGGAGGGACAGGTTCATCTCCTCAAAGTCATCTTCAGACTCCTCTGCTTCATCGTGGCCCTCTTCATTCTGTGGCCAGAGGGGAGAGAGGTCAGAGCCATGGCCACCCCAGCTCCTCCCTCCCTAGGAGCCTGTTGGGTGCCATGTGTGCTGTGGAGGTCGGGACACACTCCATATTTAAATATGTAGACACAGCTGTTTTCCAGTTACCTTTGAATTAGACACCAACCCCAACAAGGACTTAAAGGAGAGTCAAGGAGGTCCCACTGCCTTGTGCTAAGAGAGGAGAAATGCCCAGGGGACCAGCTGTTCTAGTTTGGTGGGACTGTGAAGTTTTCACAGTGAAAAGTGACATGTCCCAGGACACCTCAATCCTGGACAAACAGGGATGTTGATCACCCTGGGAGGTCCTCGCTCTCTTGCTCTGGATCAAAGCCAAGCAGAGGGACAGCTTAGCTTCAGGTTTCTGGGTCCCTGCTATCCGGCACCATTCCTGTTCCACCACACTGGTTTTGACTTGCCTGACAGTATGTGTATGCAAGGAACAGCAGGCTAAAAGATGGGCATTCCGTGTGTCTCTTCATGTGACATGGGACAACCTTCAGCATATCAGGATGGACTGCCTGTCAGCCCCCTCCAGGGAATTCAGAATTGATTCAGATATTGGCAGGGGTCATAGTTCCAAGCTCTATGGCTCATTTAAGACCAGGTGGCAGGCAGACATCAGAGCAGACAGCTGAGACCATGTGCTGAACACTCAGACCCAGTGAGCGGGCCTCTGGCCGTGTGACCTTAGGAAAATGGGTCCACCTCTCTGGGCTTTCCTTATCTCCCTATAAAGTTGATGTAAGATGAGAATTTTCTCCAAGGAGTGGTATGAAGTTTTAAATGAGGGGATGAGTTCTGAAGTTCCCACTGCTGCCTATATCAAACAGCTGCTGGGATGCTGAAGAAAAATGCAGATTCTCAGGCCTCATCTGGATCTACTGAGTTGAAACATCAGCAGATCTGCACTGAGACTTTTTTTTTGGTTTTTTCGAGACATGGTTTCTCTGTATTGTTTTGAAGGCTGTCCTGGAACTCACTCTGTAGACCAGGCTGGCCTCGAACTCACAGAGATCTACCTACCTCTGCCTCCCAAGTGCTGGGATTAAAGGCGTGCGCCACCAATGCCCAGCTGCACTGAGACCTTTTTAAACACACGACTCTTGGGGTTAGTTGGGATTCATCAAGGGAGAATGCACAGGACTTAGGGATATCTAGGCTCAGGGGTGTCTCACCTATTAGACTCTTTTATAACACGCAAGGGAAGAGCAAACGCCAGACCCTGTGAGAAGCCCTGGAGGCCCTGGTAAGATGACCTCAGAAAGTGACCTCTTCACTGGACCCAAAGTGTATGAGCTGTCTGTCTGTAACACTGAGGGAAATCAACGCAGGAAACGGCAGCTCCCAAGATCAGTTCTAGGTGACTGCTTCTGTCTCAGAATGGGATGTGGGCCTCTTCTGTCTCAGAATGTGATGTGGGCCTCTTCTGTCTCAGAATGGGATGTGGGCCTCTTCTGTCTCAGAATGGGATGTGGGCCTCTTCTGTCTCAGAATGGGATGTGGGCCTCTTCTGTCTCAGAATGGGATGTGGCCTCTTTCCCAAAGCCCTGCTTCTAGGTCTTTTAGCTTAGGGCACACAGTAGGGCCGAGATGGCAGACCCAGTGGCCATTTCCGGGACGTTTCCTTACTTCCTTAGCACAGATGGGAGGAAAACCTAGAACTTTCTCACTGCGTTGCCAAGCCAGCATCCTTGGGACTCCTACCTGCTGCTGTATGTTATTTCAAAGGCAGCGGGGCACATCCCCCTTCCAAAGTCCTCCAGCCCTGAGCTAATTTTTTACCTAAAAATGCAAATCACAGGCCAATTTCTATCCAACTGTCTCTGCTAGGATGAACACAGTGGAACGGCCCATTAGGTTCGATGCCTGGAGGAGCCACAGCTCCTTAATTGTCCTAGAGTGAGAACATCCATCAAACAACCTCTGCACCCCACCTCCCTACCCTCCTCCCTCTGTCATCAATGACATCGGGCAGGTTGCCAACCTCTAGCCAAAGCCACCTTTCCTGTCTCCAATTCTTACCTCTGAGGTTGGTTCCACTTCAATCTGAAGTAATGGATTTCCTTCCAAGCTGTAAATCAGAGAAAGAAAAACACCCGTGACCCTTACAACTCTGAATTTAGGGTGCGCCCCACTCAGGAGTCCAAAATGGCACACTGTGGCCACAAAACCTTCATCTCCCCCTGTCATTTCAACACTTGGGTCTGAAACAATGCACTGGTGAGCAGAGGAAGAGCTGACGAGACCATTATCTTAAAAGAAATCCCCTGGTTTGCTCAGGGCTCACTTTCCTTTATGGCTTTCGCTTCAACTGGTAAAACAACCTCTTCTTTTTAAGCGGGCAAAAACATCACAGGAGAACAACCCCTCCAAGGCCTAACTGTAACACCAGGAAAGAATAAATCACATTTCCAACTTCAGCTTCAGAATCTCCTAGGAGAGTCTTTAAAAATAAAAGATTTAGCTGGGCGGTGGTGGCACATGCCTTTAATCCCAGCACTCGGGAGGCAGAGGCAGGCGGATCTCGGTGAGTTCGAGGCCAGGCTGGACCGACAGCCTCGAAAACAATACAGAGAAACCCTGTCTCGTAAAACCAAAAAAAAAAAAAAGAAGATTTAGTTTCATTATTAATTATGTGTCTGTGTGGAGGTGTGTGCACATACTTGTGGTACCTATCAAAGTCAGATGGCACTCATACCCAGGACTTGGAGGTACAATGGTTTTGAGCCACCCGGGATGGTTGTTTTGTTGTTGTTTTGTTTTGTTTAACTTTAGTTATCTGGGAAGCTCATGGGAGTTCCACTGAGAAATGTTTCCAATAGATTGGCCTGCTGACAAGTCTGTGGGATATTTTCTTGATTAATGATTGATGTGGGAGGACCCAGCCCACTGTGGGAGGTGCCATCCCCTAGGCAGATGGTCCTGAGTTGTGTAGAAAAGGAAACAGAGCAAACCATGGGAAGTAAGGCAGTAGGCAGACCCTCCATGGCCTCTGCATCCGCTCCTGCCTCCAGGTTCCTGCCTCACTTCCCTCGGTGACAGTGTGTGACCTGAGAGCTGTAAGCTGACGTGAACTCTTTCTACCACGAGTTGACTTTAGCTGTGGTGTTCATCATTGCGGCAGAAATAAGACTAGCACACTACTCAGCGCTGGTGCTGGGAACCAAACTCAGGCTCCCTGCAAGAGCTTGGCAAGGGCTCTCAGGTGCTGAGCCATCTCTTCAGTCCTGGTAATATCAACGCATTTGTCTATTCATTCATTCATTCATTCATTCATTCATCTAGAATTCTGCACCAGGCATGTCTTTAAAAGGAGACTAGAGTAAGAGGAGGCTCCATGGCTCCTGCCATAAAGGGAAGCCTTATCTACAACCGAAAGAACCAACTGTAGATAGATGCAGGGGAGAGCTGAAAGCAACAAGGTAGACAGTTTCCAGTGAACTAAATAAGTACTGGGGTGTTGTGGGAATTCCCAGAAAAGAGACTCACTGGGCACATTTGGGAGTTCATGGCTGTCATGGTCTAAATAAGAGTGACCCCCATAGGCTCATACATTTGAATGCTTAATTGCTAGAGAGTGGTACTATTTGAAAGGATTAGGAGGTGTGGCCTCATTGAAAGAAGTATGTCCCTGAGGGAGGCTTTGAGGTTTCAAAGGCCCACACCAAACCCAGTCAGTCAGTCTGTCTGTCTGTCTGTCTGTCCGTCCGTCCATCTGGCCTTCCTGTCGTCTCCCACCCCCATCCCCCACCCCCACCACCTGTGGATCGGAGTGTAGTTCTCAGCTACTTCTCCAGCGTCATGCCTGCCACGCCTGCCGCCATGCTTTCCAACCTGATGATAACCAGCTGACCCTCTGAAACTGTAAGGAAGCCCCTGATTAAATGCTTTCTTTTGTAAGACTTGCCTTGGCCACGGGGTCTCTTCACAGCAATAGATTACTGACTAAGACAATGGTGTTGGAGTTTAACTTGGCGGATCTCATGGAATCGAGATCTGTGTAAGGAAAACAGGGGCTTTGCTGGGTGGGAAGACACAGGTGTGTGTTTGTGTCAAGCATACAAATCTCAAAAGCTACAGTCGCGTTCTAGGCATGAGTGAGCAACGCAAGGGGTGATGGGATGTGCGGTAGAACTCGTCCTGAGTGGTGTGAGCACACTAAGGGCATTAGGGATGCGCTGTTGTGTGCTGATGATATAATTGGCTATGTACTGAGGGTGAGGGCACTGTCGAATGCGCAGTTTTGTGGTGGGGATGTGGGGTATAGTAAGTGTTTACAGGGGTGCTTGGAAGAAGCTTTTGACACTTAAGGATGTGTGTTTATGGGGTGCAGTGGGAGCAGAGCAGCTTGACTACAGACTGCACACAACACTCAGAAGAGGCAGGACAAAGCCTTCTCCAGGGAAACAGTGTCTTCTTTATATTTCTCCAATGGAAGTTTAGCAACTCCCTTACCCACCCTATTGTGGGAGGAGTTTCTCATACAGCCCCCCAGATCTCAGGGAGCTAAGTAAAGGACCCTGCGACTAAGCTAAACAGGAGGAGGGTCATTGTGTTAGTCAATTATTTATGGGGTAGCCCTAGGAAGTGAGATGAAAGTCCCCAGGAACAGTGAAGAAAACAGGACAACACAAGAGTCCCTCTCCTTGCCTAATCACAGCCCAGCCCTTTCTGTTTCAAGGTGAAACTCCAGTTGCCAGGGTTACTCAATGACTTCCCGCTGCAGTCTCCCTGCCCATTACTCCTCACACATTTAAACAGATCGCGAGCAGCTCCCCGAACCGCCACGGTGACCCTGACTATCGTTAATAACTTGGAGTTCATCTTGTACAAAGCGTGGAGCTGGTTTCTGAGCAGCAGAGAACCGACCCAGAGAGCTAGGTCAGCAAAGTGCCTGCCGGCAACACACTGCTCCTTTGATTTTAGAGATGTACCGTGTTCGCACTTAGTGGAGTCCTGAAGCAGGTCAAGTGGGATAGAGCCATTAGGGAGGCCAAAGGAAAAGGGAAGCAGGCAAAATTGAGAGTTGTAAACTCATGTCACATCCCAACATGCCCCAAACTTTGGGCACAGGCACAAAAGGGAAGGAGGGTGACTTCTCTGGTTGTCTAAGCAATGGGTCATGCGGGGGGAGGGGTGCATACACCAAGACATTTGTGTTTGCGGCCACATTGTTTACTGCAGGGAGATCTGAATTCCACGTGAGTATGACACTCTATAGTCAATAAGAGCCCAGAATCCCAGGGGAAAATCAGTATCCCTGCATTAAAGATAAAACAAGATTGTAAGGATCATAACTGCCTTTGTCATGAATCACAGATACATGAACAGGATGCGAAAGCACACTAAGACATTCTAGCACCATGAAATTCCAAGGGGCGAGTTTCTCTTCCTTATTCACTGAATATTCGAAATCATCCCAAATTAGCTTCTGCTCATTTTACGGTGGTATAAATAACAGAGGCTAGCAGGCTCTTTCTGTAAGGGGCCAGAGAGTCCATATTATTGACTTTGGGGAGCCATATGTTCCCTTGCCACCACTCCACCCTCCTGCCGTATGGAGAAGGCAGCCAGTCAAGGCCCTGCGAATACACTAGCATGGTGATGTTTCAATAAAACTTTACTTAAAAAAAACAAGTGACAGATGGGATTTGTCTGACAGGCTAGAGTTTGTTGATCCCAGGTGAAAACTATATGTTTCCTGTTTTTTTTTTTTTCTTTTTCTTTCTTTCACCCTGTCCCCAGGACCAGGAGTTGAATCTACACCCACACAACCAAATACATCGTCAGTCTGTTTTAGATGGTTAGATTTTGAGACCGGGCCTTAATTAAGTTGCCCCAACTGGCTTTTGAACTTGTAATGCTTTTGTTTTGACCTCCCAAGCATCTGGAATGCCAGGCAGATGCCACTAGGCTCAGCTTAAAGGACGCTGTTTACAAAGGGAGACCATGCTATAAACTAAAGTCTAGCTGTTGCCTGGGACAACATGTCTGGAATCATGAGGCGGGCACTGTGAGGTACCGGTGTGACCTCTAGAAACTGTAGCTGCCACGGAGGACCAGAGCCACAGGAAGAGCTGGCTTGTGGGCACTAACGTTGCCTCGTATCACTTCCCTCTCAGTTTGGGGTGCCGGCCCCCTTCTATTGAGTCATGTCCTGTGTCTTTCTGTCCTTCAGGTCTGAGGAAAAGTGACAGCAGAGGAACCAAGAAGGCTGGAGGTACTGAAGCTTGGGGTAGGGGATGAGGTCACTTACATTGTATTTGAGGTGACAGGATGCAGGATGACTTGGGGTGCCCTGGTGGGCGTCTCTGGTACAGGCACCACATCTGAGAGGCAGAGGGCAGATACTCAGAGATCAAATCTAGAACCCATAACCCTCACCCCCCAAGAAACACAGCAGCCAGCAGCTCTACCCTGTGTTATGGATTCCTTTTCCTTTGCCTCACCCACTGAGATGGACCAGCCTTCTAGAGATCCTGTATAACATCCTCACCACCAAAGGGGCTAGACAGGATGCCCAAGCATCCACTGCCATCCCTGAATCTTCCTCACTCCTGAGTCTCCTTTGGGTCAAGGGGACCACTCAGTTCACATCTCTGTCCAGTTCAGGTCCTTTTGACTTGCTGGACCTCCTGGCCTCCTGGGCCTCTACCATGCTGGGTGTATCCCTAGGTCCCTTGGTGCTCTTGGAATCTCCTACCCTCACCTTCTCTTCCATGTCCAGATGTTATCCTGGAGTATGGAGACCCCACTAGTCTCCTCTCTGCTCTTACCTCTTTCCACCAGCCCCAGCAACCCCTGCTCCTCAGAGGGCTAGTCCCCAGGACACTCACCTGGGAAGATGAACTGCTGCTTATATTTGTAGTAGTGGGAAGCTTGCAAAAAACAGAAAACACCAGTGTGAGTACCACCCAAGAGTCGCCTTGTTGGGTACCAAGTCTCATTCCTGTTGTCACTGCATAGTCACTCTCTGTCCACCCCCAGAGTGCCCACGCTTCAGCAGACACCCTGAATTATAAGGGAGTAGGAATATGTGGGACCCAACCATTTAACATTTCACAGCCCCTAAAATCAGGCCACACCCTCTCAGAGGCACAGTGACACACACTTCTCTCTCTCTCTCTCTTTCTCTCTCATACACACACACCCCACCACCACCACCACAAAATTATAATCCAAAATAATCTTTGTTTTTACAAGCAAAGAATACTTTTTGCTTTTATGCAAATTTTCAGCATCAAACTTTGCATTGAATTATTTTCTTTCTACTGTGATAAAGTGGCAATAATTGTAGTGACTCCCAACAGCACTAACAGATCCCTTTATAGCAGTGATTCTCAACCTGTGAGCTGCAACTCCTTTGGGGTTCACATATCAGGCATCCTGCATTATCAGATATTTACATTGCAATTCATAACAGTAGCAAAACTACAGTTACAGAGTAGAAACAAAATAATCTTATGGTTGGGGGTGGGGGTGGAGAGGTAGGGTGTCACTACAACATTAAAGGGTCACAGTGTTAGGAAGGTTCACAACCATTGCTCTATAGTCTGGAGGCTGGAACAGGAAAACATGTCTTGAAAAGTCATGAACAAGGTGTATATATGGTTTGGGCTCCCTGGAGACTCCAATCCAAGTCTTTGGGGCAGGTGGTTTACCTTTCCCAGCAAGCATGGGCCACAGAGAGTCCAACCCTAGCACTGCTCAGCTCCCCAGCAATTCTCCCCAGTCTCAGCTTTGTTCTGACATCACTTCCTGCTGGCCTCCTTGCCTGCCCCCTATGGGACTGAATTTAGCATAATCCAGGATAATCTGTGCTCCTCAAAGTCTGTGATTTATTCCCAACTGCCCCCATGCTTTTGTCACAGCAGTTACAGGCTTGGGGATTAGGGTGTGAACATCTTTCTCCTGTCTTTTTTGCTTTTTCAGAGAGCAGGCTTTCCCCCACTTACCATAAGCATGGATAATCTCTAGGCTTAGCAAGAGTAATTATACAAAATATGTTTCCTGAACCCCACCTGTTATTGTCTTACAACTTACTCTACATCTGGTCAAGGTTTCTAATTTTCTGGTTGCACAGGTCAGACAGCTTTACATCCCCCCCACCACAATAATAAGTTCAGTGGTTGGCAGAGATGGGGTCATATACATGCTACTGCAGAATCCAGTACCAGAAGCAACTTGACTACCTTCAGAGATGGGGACTGCTCACCGCCACTTGACTCCTCCCTGTGAGGACCCAGGGCTTGGATCTGGAGTCTAGAAGTTGATTCCTTAGCACGGTTTGCTCTGTTTATGTCCCTTGTAAAATCCAAGCAGACCTCTCCATGTCTGTGTCCACACACAAAATGGGGACAATACTAGTCCCAGGTCCATGATTCTGGGACCATCACTCCTCGAAAGTGTACAGTGGGTTCTGAGTGGGGACAGCTGGGGCCTTGGCTCTTCTTCATCCGCAGATACAACTGATCCGGGGTGAGAAAAAAAATTCTCTAACAAACTATACCTGTGCCAACCATGTGTATATTTTTTTCTGGTGGTGAGTCCCTCAGCAATACATGAAAATTGTCTATACGGCTTTCACTCAGTGCTTGGTATTGCATGAAAGCACATGGGAGAATGCATGGAGACTGCATGCATGTTCCACAAGGACATGAGCATCCTTGGACTGTGATAGTCATGAGACTCCAGGAGCCCTAGATCTGTGGGATGAATGCATTAGCAGGTGGTGAAAAAAAGGATTCCCAGATCTCTTAACTAACAGACAAGAATGATTTAGAACCAAGAGACAGCAGACAGCTTCAAGTGCTAAAAGTTTGTTGCTGGGGGGTGGGGGTGGGAGTGGGATGGGGGGTGGGGGGATGGGGAGCAAATGAAACAGTCCCCTTGAGGCTGGAGTCAATTAAAAAAGCTCCTTCAGGACAGAAAGTAAATCCCAGCACCTCAGGAGCCCCAAGTCCCCACACATGTAGGTGGAAACCACTTTGAAGAGTGACTAAAATCATTGCTTTTTATCTAAGACGCCAAAGCATAAGCTCTTGGCTTAGCCCATTTCCTGATCTGGCATAGCCTTGGAATGCCACTGGGGTTATTTTGATTCTGGAGCACAGGTATGCAGTCTGGGAAACAGTTTATTCCAGGTCACAAAGTACAACTTCCACCTTCTCCCCCCACAAAAAAGGGAGCTCATGAGTTCAGGAGCCTTGTTGGTTACACAGTCCGGTGCAAATCTCACATGCAGCCATTTCTCAACAAAAGGCTAAAATTGTAAAATAAGAAACTATTACATCTCAGAGGGCCCAGATGTTCCCGACACCCAGTCCCACCAAGCTCTGACTACAGTGAGGGACTCAACCCATAGTAAAGGTGGGATGATTGCCAAGCTCTTTTCAAGAAACAGGCCATGTGTTCAAGACTGGCCTAATAAATGTTGCTCAAGTCCTAACCTTGGAGAAGTGTGACTACATGACCTTACATGGCAAAGGGACTTTAAAGATGGATTTAAATTTAAAGATGGCTCTTGACATGGGCTATCCTGGGCTGTGTGGATGAGCCCAGTGTGATTGTAAAAGTCACTATGAGAGGGAAGTCAGAGGTCAAAGAGAGTCAATGAAAACAGGTTGTGTCAGTCAAGATTGCTATTGCTGTGATAAACACCATGACTAAAAACAACTTGGGGAGGGAAGGATTTATCTGGCTCACACTTCCACATCACTGTTCATCACTGAAGGAAGTCAGGACAGGAACTCAAGCATGGCAGGAGCCTGGAGGCAGGAGCTGATGCAGAGGCCATGGAGGGTGCTGCTTACTGGTTTGTTCCCCATGGCTGGCTCAGCCTGCTTTCTTATAGAACCCAGTTCCAGCACCACCCACAATGGGCTGGGCCCTCCCCCATTGATCACTAAGTGAGAAGGTGCCCTACAGCTGGATCTCATGGAAACATCTCTTCAGCTGAGACTCCTTTGTCTCTGATGACTCTAGCCTGTATCAAGTCCACACACAAAACCAGCCGGTACACAGTACAAAGGCCAGGTAGAATAATGAGGAATGAAGGGGTGCAAACACAGAAGCTGAGAGAAAGAAAGAAAATGCTTCTGGGGTAACCTGGGCTCACTGGGCCGTGGAGTTTTCTCCCCTATCAAGCCTGCTCAGGGCTTCTAATATTAGATGCTGCTGTGCTGTTTTGGGCTGTTCAGCTTGGGCTCACTTGTTACAGCGGCAGTGAGATTCCTACACTACAGAACTATGTCAGGCTGTTTGTGGCTCTACATCAAGTGGCACACACAGCGGGTGCTCAATATGTGCCTCTTAGGGACAGATGGCATCTGAAGGACAGAAAGACAACCTGAAGATGAGAAACGAGAGTCCTGGGAAGTCATTAGCTCATTCATTTATTCATTCAACAAACACTGTACTATCCCATAGATAGTAGCATTCACCAGTTTGGGGCATAAAAGAAATGACACTGTTGGGTTTCCTGTTCTTGTGGTGCTGGTGTATGGTTGGAGGGGATAGAGAGTGAGCACGTGAATGAACCCCCGTGATCGCACAGTGATGTGGAGCAGGAGGAAGGGAGGAGGTATTGTCTGACCCCGTGGGATCTTAGAAGTCCCACCAGCCCTTATAGGGTGACGTGACGGTTAATACAAACAGATCTGGCCAAAGTGCGCACAATAAATGACCGTGTATGGGGGAGACATCTATATAAAATGTGCCATGTGTATACACATACCACGAACCCCTCCCACACACACACCATGCACTCACACACACATACCATGAACCTACACACATACACCACACACACACTCCACACCACACTCCACACATACACATGCATACATACCATACATTCATGCACACATACCACACATATCATGCACACACACACTCCACACATACACATGCATACATACTAGACATTCATGCACACATACCACACATATCATGTACACACACACCACACATACACATACATACATGCCCCCACAATACACACATCACACAAACACCCCATACACACCACACATATACACAAACACCACACTAACACACACCATACATACCACACACACACACACACACACACACACAGAACCCAGAGAACAACGCAGAAGAAAGGGCAGAAAGAACTGAAAAGCCAGAGGGTGGAGAAGAGGCTGACACAATGTTGCCATTCGGATATGCTATTGCCATGGCAACCATGAAAACACAGTAGCAGTGGACACTTGCACAAGACTGGGCCCCAACTTTCCCCCACAGACAGAGGAGTTACCCGTGAAGCCCCTCTTTTCCTGAGAACCTGATGCCTGTGGGTGTTTGCTGGGGGAAGGATGCCATTTTCTCTGTTGATGTAGCCACTAGAGGACAACGTGGGAAGAAATGATTCAGAGGGAAATAAATGGGGATACTAGAGAATAAGAGGGGTGACTATACCAACCATTGTATATACACATGAAACTAAAAAGGAAAGGAAAAAGAAATCTTGCTATATCTACCAAAGGAAGACTCTTACTCTGCTTCTTCATTTTTAAGGCACTAGAAATTTCTATTTCCTGGAGTGGTGTACATGAGTGTAAGTGCATGAGTATATGTATGTGCATATAAGTGCATGAGTGTGTGTGTGTGTGGTACATGTACATATAAGTGAGAGTATGCGTGTGTGTGTGTGTGTGTGTGTGTGTGTGTATGTCCAAAGACAGAGGATATTTGGAGGCTCCACCCAGAAGCCCCTTCATGCCTCTTGCCATGGGGACATGATAGCCACTCAAAACAAAGCTGGGGTCTGAAACCAGATTCATCTATGCTCAGAGCAGCTCCTCACTGACCTACACTAGGCTTATCCACAGGGCAGGAAGTCTCAGGAAACGATGGAAAACAGTGGTCAATCCAATGGACCAGATGTGGTCACCAACACCCAGTCAGCACATGTCACACCTGGTTTAGTAACATCTCATTCCCATGTGCTCTGAGGTTACCAGGGACGTTAAATGGGCTATTAACCTCACAACCCCTTTTGGAAACCCCTGAATGTTGTCGATTAATCAATCCTAGCGATAAAGTTACATCCAAGCATTAGCTTACATAGCCTTAAGAACTCAACATCTTACAGCCAGCCACACTCCAAGCTCCATTCCCCATCTCCAGGAGCTCAGAATCAAGAGTGTGACAGAGAGCCAGAGCCTGTCATCCTGGGAGATTCTGCTAGGGCGGGGGGTGTCCTGACTGCGTTTCTGGAAGACTGCATTTTGTTTTCCCTGCCAGCATCACACTCATCACTTGCATTCACTTACTCACATCCGCTGCCATTGCATACATGACAGAAAGTAGGAAAGACACAAGCCCTCCGTGAGCCAGCTGTGGTAACACGCACTAATGACGCCAGCTCTCCAGAGGCAGAGAGGCAGGAGGATAGTGGAGAGCTTGTCCCAGAAAGAAACTCCTGAGTGTCTGCCTGCTGGTGGTGTCAAATGGCTCAACCACTGTGGGAGGAACCGCTCTTATGCTTTCCCTATGAACTAAATGCGTGGGCAAGGAAATGACACTCAGTCATACAGTGCTTGCCCACACACAAGGCCCTGGGTTCAGTCCCCAGCACCACAAACAACGAAGCTGAAACCTCTCTGCTCATTAGCAACAGCCAATAAGTCCTGGCAGATTTTATACATGCGGCGCATAAATATGTGAAAATGATTCACAAGAAACAGAAGGATAGTATACCAATTATTTTGCAGTTATCCTTTGCACTTAAAACCCACAATGAGCGTCTTTGCATTATGGGAAATCTCTGTGGAGTACTGAGTCCCTTCACATGGTGGCAGAGCATCCTTCCAGTGCATCTGGCCCTTCTCTTAATGGGCACATGACACAATTTCAGTCCTTCACTGTTGCAACAACTAGTGTCCTTACACACAGGTCCTGGTGTCCTTGTGCCAGTGCCTGAATAGAAATTCCCACAAGTGACATTGCTGATTGCATTTGGAATATCAATTGACTAACTTCCACAGAAGGTGAATCCGATTGTACTGTGTGTGTGTGTGTTTGTGTGTGTGTGTGTGTGTGTGTGTGTGTGTGTGTGTTTGCTGTGTGCACGAAGTCAACCTTAGGTTTCATTCCTCAGGTTCAGTCTACCTTATTTATGAGATAGGCCTTACCACTTCACCTGGACCTCAACGCTGTGGCTGGGCTGGCTGCCATTGAGCCCACAAGATCCATCTGCCTTCAGTTTCCCAGTGCTGGGACTCCAAGCATGTGTCACTAACCAGGATTTTTTTAACATGAATTCTGGGAATGACTCATGGCCTTGTGCTTGTGCAGCAGGGTTCCCCCACCCCACCCCGAGCCACCTCAACAGCCCTTGCTCAGGTAGCATAAAGATGGAGACCTGGCTGGCAGAGCCTTCTTGGGACCTACATGTTGGCTTGGCTGGGCCCTGGCGGAAGCAGCAGTCTTAGTTCTGGTTCACTTGAAAGCAGAGAAAGCTCCATCTCAGGTCTAATGACAAGGGAGGGTGAGGAGTTAGTGCCTCACAAGCGGCTCTTTCACCATTCTCTCACACACTGAGGTGACAGAATCAGGTCACACAGAGAGGGCAGGATAGACAGGTGTGGATCTGGAATCCAGGACCTCATGCTGTCCATTCTGAGCCATGTCTGGCACCTGGGCTGAGACTTGTGAAGTGACCCTACACAGAAATGTGTCCCTGAGATCCTCAGCACAGCACCCTGCCACCAATATCAACCAATCTGTCTCACCAGACAACGGCCAACTCTGGAGTGGGTTACTCTGCCTCATGACTTAGCTAGGTAAAGACATCAGCTTGTTGCTAAACCAAAGACACGCTCGAAGAGTCCCTGTGTCTATGCTTCCTCATCTGTCAAATAGAGTCAGTGATGCTTACTTCACATTTCCTCTAAAGCAGAAATGTGGTATTATAGGACAATCGCCCCGTGTAAGGTAAGCACACATCCACACCCCTCCTTGACTCTGATCATTGGTCCCATGCTAGTTGGCTTTGGCAGTGACCCAATGCCCCCCTCGTCGCTCCCACCTGGCCCCGTGGTATCCGCTGTCTCCCCAGCACAGAGGTACCTGGTAGGTTGAAGTTCTTTTTCTGTCTTGTGCACTGTGGGGAAGGGTGCAGGGGAGAAGGCGGCGTGGCACTGGGGGGGAGGGGGGGTGCTGGTGAGGAAGGCGTGGAGGACGTCGTGGATGAGGGGTTGCTGCTGGAGTCTGGCTGGTAAGGGACAGGGATGTGGTCCTGTGGAAAGAAAAACAGGGCAGGGGTCAGGGAAAAGTTGGGGGCACAGAGACACAGCAGAAGGGATGAGCTGGGCAGGAAGGGGCTCCCCAAGCCAGCTTTCTGAGCCATGGCTGCCCCTTCTGCAATTGTTAGATTCTTCTAGAGTCTAGCCTAGTTCAGTGAGAGACCCTGTCTTTATATGTGTACGTAAACACACACACACACACCTGAACAAGTCAATTTAAAGGGTTGCACCAGATGTAGGGGGAAGTTTCTGGAGTCACATTCTTGCTTGCTGCTTGAACTCCAGGCAGGAAAGGTTGCCTCATAATGAAATCTGCAGAGGTGCTAGGCACGCACTCAGCGCCTCTTTGATCTGGAGGGGCCCCATGCCGAGGTGCCCAGAGAACTGTCCCTGCTCTGACACATCTCCTCCCAAGTGTTTATTAAAGAATCAACAGCTTGACAGCTCCAGAGAACGTGGGTGTGAGTCTTCAGCATTTTTCCCCAGCATGCAGCTGGGACCTGCATTGTCTGCCTTGCCCTCAGACCAGCTTCATGGGAAGGGCAAAGATGGAGTCCTTAGCTGCACGTGCTGAATGCCCTTGTTGGATGGACCTAAGATAGCAGGTCAGAGGGTTGAATGTGCCCTCCCACAAGACACGCCACCCAGAACATTAGACCAATCCCAGATAGAACAAGGGTGGGTCATTATAGATATAACAAAGTCAAAGATCTAAAGATGGGACTCGGTCCTGACTCTAAGGATGAATAGCCTCCTGAAAGACAGGAAAGGGAACACACATAAACAAAAGAGTAGGTGAAGACAGACCCAGAGACGGGGGTGTTGTCACCAGCAGCGGAGAGCTGCAGAGCCACTGGAAGCTGGAAGAGGCAGTGGGGTCCTCCTCTGAGCTTGAGAAGGCACCTTACCTAACATGATGGCTTCATCAGGGCTGAGTAATATTCTACCGGATGGATGTACCACAGTTTGTGAATTATCGTCCAGTGAGGGACATCTAAGTTGTTTCCTGGTCAGGGTTACTTTGTGTGTGTGAGGATGAAGCTACTGTACATATCTATAAAGAGGTTTGTTGGAACATCTGTGGTTCTCTAGAGTGGCTGCACTGTTTTATAGCCATGCTCCACAGTGAGCAACTTTTTCTGTGTCCTAACTAGCACTCGGTGTGTCATCATTTCTTACTGTGGCAAGCATGTGATAATGGTGTGTCATGTTGGTTCACAGTGAGCATCCTCTCCTCTGGATATTACTTTTGGTTTTGATTTCTGAAGCTATTTATTAAGTTTTGAAATTGGGTAGAATGCATTCCATTTTCAGTTTGCTCATATGCGCACACACACACACACACACACACACACATACGCACACTTCTTTGGTTATTCTAGCTGCTTCGCCTCTCTATATCATCTTTAGAATGACAGTGTCTAGGGCTAGAGAGATGTAGTGAAGTAAGCATACTGCTCTTCCAGGGGACCCAAGTTCAGATCCCAGCACCCACATCATAAGGCTCACAACGGCTGAAGCTCCAGCTCCAGGGAATCTGGCGCCTTCTTCTGGCCTCCTCAGGTACTTGCACTTAATGTGCACATACCCACTTCTACACAATTAAAAAAATAAAACTTTAAAACCAAAGTCCTGGTGTCACTGGGGTCAGGGAACCCACCTGACTCAAGGCCATGCTCCAGGTCTACTTTCAGAGAGCCCAGCTCCCTGAGATGACCTGCTGTTGCCTTCCTGCCTCTTGGCTATCCTTACAGCACCTCACTTTGTTGAGCTGGATAGGTAGGGCTCTATTCCTTGCAAATACAAGCCAGCATGCAGGATCTTCTAACCCCATGCAAATAGCAGGAAGAGCTATGGCCTCTGCTGCCACTGCAGATGGCTGTTTGGGTGTCCTCATGTAGGGGACTAGGGCTGGCAGCTGGTCCCTGAGTGAGCTGGCAGACTATTGATTTTGCTTGTCTGGCTTCTCTCCTTATCCTGTCTTTCTTGATCTCCCCATCCCTCACCATCTCCTCCGTTTCCTCCTTCTTCCATCAGTCACTTCCTCTTCCATCTTCTTTTGCTCTTTCTCGTCATCTATTCCTTTCTCATTCCCATTTCCCCCTCATCTTCCTTCTCCTTCCTCCTCCCTTTCCTCCTCTCTTCATTCCATTACTCTGTTTCCTCTTCTCCTACACTCTTTCCTCCTCCCCCTCCTCTCCTATCACCTCGCCCATTTTACAGAGGGGTAAAACTAAGGCACTTTGAACAGGCCCAAACACAGCAACACAGCAAGTTAAAGAGCTATGCCACGAACCCAAGCTTTCTAACTCCACTGTCTACCTTCTGCCCACCTGCCAGGTGAGGAAGCAGGGTTTCTATGAACCTGGATGGATTGGATCAGAGAGGAGGACAGACAAATATGAGAACAGGAACAGGAATACTTCAGAGCAAATTGGCCGAGAAATCTGTCTCCAAACCATATCATTGCCTGATGACAAGAATCTTCATGAAGCCAGTGAGACAAGAACAAGACAAAAAATAGCCCAGCCTGATAAGAGAGCCTGTCCACCTCCGTGGCAAAGCTGCTGTCTTTCTGTCCCTTCCTGAGTGCCCCTGCTGGCAGACAAGCAGAATAATGTCACTGTGGCTCATCCATCTGACCTGTGTTTTTGTCCCATCTGACATCAAGAGGCTCCAGAGCTGGTTAAGCCAGACAGAAAGATCTCAGAGTGGCTTTGAGCTCCTGGCCCCGATGATGTCACGGAAGTAAAGATGAGTTCTATGATATGCACAGTCACTTCTGGAAGAACACGGCACCATCCTTCCTTTCCTCTTTCCTCCCTTCCTTCCTTCCTTCCTTCATTCCTTCCTTCCTTCTTTCTCTCCCTCCAGAGCCTTACACACACTAGCCAAGTCCTCATCCACTGAGACCAGCCCTGAGACTTCCAGAAACAACCAAAGTAAATGGCCGTGGATCTGACATTTTGCATGAAGCCCCAAGATCAAAGACAACGCTTATTAGGATTCCCTGGGTATCTGCTATGCACCAGGAAGCACACGGCATTTTCTAATGCCGATGCTTTAGTGCTCGCTCAGGGACCTCTCTCCAAAGCTGGTGTTCTTTTTTAAAAATAATTTATTTAATTTTATTTTTTGTGTATCGGTATGAGGGTGTCAGATTCCCTGGAACTGACTTAGAGACAGTTGTGAGCTGCCATGTGGGTGATGGGAATTGAACCCAGGTACTTCCAGAGGGCAGTCAGTGCTCTTAACCACTGAGCCATCTCTCCAGCCCAGAAAGCTGGTGTTCTTAACAGCCACTGTGAGCATCATAGCGCAGGGACCCAAAGCCCCTCCCCAATGACAACAGGCATCTACCTTGCCTAGCTTCAAGCCCCGCACACAGTTGCCTCCTTAGTAAAAAACTGTGGGAACAACACTGCCGAGGTCCCATGAGCCATCTGTAAGGCGCACAGATGGCATGAAGTAGCTATATTGGGGGAAGGCGAGGCTACAGGCAGCCATTCCGGCTGACTTCTCTGCCAGGCACTGACTTTGACTCTTCCCAACCCAGGCACCAGACATGAGAGTAAAGAATCCTGTAGAACTGTAGAACACTTAATGGCAAATATTTCAAGCTTTTCAGCCACGTGAGCTTTCTTGTGACTTCATCAACTTTGCTATCAACTTTGCGTAAAAGTAGCAATGGACAGGATGGGTGTGGCTTGAGTCACATGAAAGCCAGTAATGGACTGAACTTGGCCTATTCTAGATTCTACTAGCCACCAGTTATAGAGGTTTTCCTAGTAAAGCCTCTGGATAGTCTAAGGGAAAGGCAAAATCACACCCCCATGGTGCTCTGATAAAACTCTTAGCCCCTAACCTGAAGACTATAAGCATAATAAAAGTGTGGTTGTTATACACTGCTAATTTGGGGATGGTTTGCTGTATAGCAGTAGACAAATTAAACATGTCCATTTTATATAGAGGAAAACTTTAGGCCAGAGAGATTAAGCTACTTGTTTATAGTTTCACAGCCAACAAGGCCAGCTGCCAGTTTGCCCTGACCCCAGAACCTAGGCTCTTTCCAATGCTAGGATGATGTGACAAGAAGCCAGAAAGTGACTGCAATAAAAACTGATGGTCACTAGCTGTGGGCAAAGTGGGAGTAGACAGGGCTTTGAAAGGGACCATGGGAGGTCAGACATAGAGGGCAGGACCAAATGACACAGCTCTGGACAGTGTGACTTGTGCTGGATGTGAGGGCACACACCTGCATTCCCAGCACTCAAGAGGCTGAGGCAGGAGGATCTCAAGTTCATGATCAGCCTGAGCTATACAGCATGACCCAGTCTCAAAAAAATTGGTTAAAATGCTTGCTGTACAAGCAAGAGGACCAGGGTTGGGATCCCCAGAAACCACATAAGTGCTGGGTTAGCAATGAAGCCTGCCTATAATCTCAGCCTAAAAGGACAGACATGGGAATCCCTAGACCAAACTGCCTAGCAATAGTAGCCCCATCCTCAAGCTCTGCATTACTCTTTATTGAATAAGATACAAGAGCCATCAAGGAAGTTCTTGATGTCAACCTCAGGCCTCCATGTGTATACTCATCACATGTGTACATGCATCCTCACACACACACCCACAAATATGCAAAACCATGTACACACACGTATGCCCATATATAGGATAATACAAACTAAATAAATACAAATTAGATTCCAAAAACCAACAGAAAACCAGCATGCGTGTTTTAGGCAGAATGACAGCTTTTGAATAACATTTATTGAGACCTACTCTGGCTATTTGGAGGAGGGTAGATGGGGCAGGGAGGCCTTCTCACAACCAATGCAGGGAAGCAAGACCACACGTTGCCAGGGAGAGGGTCAACAGTCACCAAGATGTTCATCTGGCATTTGCATACAGATCTATTCCCTCCCCCATCTCTGAGTCGACACCATGCTTTATCCACCTTCAACATACTACACGGAGGCTCTATGGGGCCTGACAAACCACCTCTTGGCATATGAGAACTTGGCTAATACTGTGGGGTTAGAATTGCCCCCTGGGACATTTTCAGCACAGTCCATCAACAGACCAAAGCCAACACAGAGTGATCACCCCAAAAAGAAAGATATACAGAGGGCTGCCAGTTGGCCATCCACCAGAGGGGAGAAACCAGCTGTTGCTCGGAGCCCCCAGTGACATCTACCCATCCATCTGAGTCCCCACCAGAAGATCACCATCCTTCAGTTCAACAGATGCCCGCTACCATGTGCACAGCTGCTCTGGCAGATGGGGAGCCGTCCCAGGCAGAGCAGTAAGGGTCTCAAGTACCACAGAACTCCTTCTCGTTGCCTCCTCCCATCCCGGAGTTCTGTCTTCCCCACACGCGTCCGATCTCATTTCCATGGGCCTCTTTCTAAATGAGATGCACTCTGTCCTGAGTAGCTCTTCAACTGATCATAGGATGCTTCCCCGTGGCCCTGAAAGCTTTACCACACACAAACCACCCAGAAGCAATAGCATCCATGACTGAGAATGCCATGCCCCAGCTTGATCCCCTCCTTCCTTCCACATGCCATCTGTCACTGCTATCTGGCCCCCACCGCTAACCCCATAAAAGCCACACCTTACCTTGTTGATTTTGTTGGTTTTGGGGAGCGTCTGGCTTATGTGCAGATCTGAGTAGCGTGCTGGCTTCCGGACAGGGTTGTTGATGTCACAGGGGACCGACTCCGTTCGCACTAACCTTGCTGGGTCCGTAGGGGTAAAAACAGTGAAGAGAGAGTCTAAGCATCACGTTGGCTTTTGTCATGTCAGGAGAGCTCAGCTCACATTCTACTTTGAAGCCTACTGGTGATACCAGAAATGATAGCCATGTATTACCGTGACAAATGTTCTGAGTGACCTCTGTGGTGTTTATGCTCTTTGTATTATCTACACAGTGTGAGTGTGTGTGTGTGTGTGTGTGTGTGTGTACTGCAAGGTGTACTAACATGTACTTGTCATTGTAGGTGTGTCAACGTGGTTGTGCAAATGGGTGTGAGTGTGGTGGCCTGAGGTTGACAGCAGGTCCATCCTTGACCTCACTCTACCTTTATTTGTTGAAATGGGATCTGTAACTCAACCTGAAGCTCATAGTTTAGACTAGGTTAGCTGGCCAATGAGCTTTAGGAATAGGCTCCTACTCCAGCATTGGGGTTCCAGGGATATCCTGCCATCCTGACATTTTGAAATGACTTCTGGGAATCTAAACTCAGGTTCTTATACTTGCATGACAGGGACTAATTTAATCAACTGAGCCACCATCCCAGCAACTACACATGATTTTTCAGGCATCTCTTTTTTTTTTTTTTTTTGATTATCTATTCCCTTACACATGGTTTTTGACAGTAGAAACAGGGGGCGGCCATTTTTGTTTTGGTTTTAGTTTTTCACAGTTACTTTCACTTCAGCCTTGACTTTCACTTGTGATACAAGCGATCCCTGATTCCAATGAGACCTACAATTAGCATACAAGCCCTGATGGACACCTGTCCCTGCACTTGCGACCATTTGTTAGGTATGGAGTTTATGAGGACTAAGAAAACTGTCACCCGTTGGACCACGTGTGTCCCAAATAACTACGGATCCCTGCAATAATGGCTCAGCTCCTTCAGCCTTTCCCCTGGGTATTACACCCAGAGCCAACGCTGGGTACACAGCACGTGATGCTGAATAACAGCTTCCTGGTGGCGAAGGAGAACTCCATCCTCAAGAGCCTGTCTCTCGTCATTACCGTCACTCATGGGGAACACAGTGTGCGATGGCAGTGAGCCCCTCAAGTTCAGATTCGCCTGCCTACCACCTTTCCTTGTTAGTTGTGTTTTTTTCCTGGGTGGGGGGGTGGTATTCAAGCTTTGCATTGACCCAGGGATTTAATTTCTCTGCTTAGCCTGAGCTACCATTACCATGGAAACGGACTCTATTTTCAACTTCCCACCAACAGGGAGGTGGGGGAAAGGCAAGAAGCCAGCGGACTTCTGCAGGAAAGTTCTCTTTGATTTACTTGTAAGGTGTAAGCCCTCCTGGAGCCCAGGGAGTTTGGCCTTGAAGGTGGATGGAAGGAGGGAGACCTTCTCCAAATACCAGACTCAGAGGCCCACCTTCCTGCAGTCTGGGTTTTGCCTTCCTGGGGGAGTTAGCCTCCAGAGCATCTTCTGTCTACAGGGCAGGATTTGGTGGGAGGCAAATTCCCCAGTGATGCTGACCTCAGACAGGGGCTCAGGAGATGTGTGAACTCAGGTTTCAAAATAGTCACTCAAGGGATATCAAGACTATGGAGTGCAAAAGGCAGGAGAGAAGAGAACAAAATGCTATTACTACCCTGCTCTCCTCATGGTGAGCAAAACATCAAAAACCAACTACCTGTGACATCTCTGGACCTGCTTCAGGGGGACAAACTCACTTCTTGCCTGAGCTTCTTGTAGGTTCACTCTTAGACTGGCTGGGCACTCCAAGGCCAAGTCTGAGCTCGGCAATGCCATGGGGAGATTTGGAAGGATGGAGAAGGAAGGTTCAGTCTTGGCTTAACAAGTCTCTATGCTCTCTGGCAGGTCTGAGGCTCCATCCAATCTAGAGATGGGGGCACTGGCTGGCATCTGGCCAGCAGGTCGCTAATACTTGGCAGAAAATCCAAGTCACATAAAACTACACGGGCTTCTGTTTGAAAGGTCACAAATGCAGGTGACATGCATCTGCCTGCATAGTTGCTGTAGTGCCCACCATCTCTGGATAGTACCTGCCTGGACTTTCCAATCGGCCAAGCTTCTCTCATTCAGGATGTTTGCGTGGCCCCCATCAGTGTGTGATGTGTGAGTTTGTATAGCTCTTGATCATGAACAATGCTTCCTGGCTTGAAGTGCACAGGAACCCCAGATCCAATTCCAAAGGGCAGGTTCTGATTGGGCATTTCTTGGGCAGGGCCAGGAAGTGTCATTTCACACGTGCCTGGGCCACACTTTTGTTAGACAGAACAGAGGAGCACAGGTGCATTTCCTTAAGAAAGGAGTTACCCTGTGGGTCAAGCTTTCCAGGGAGAGGGTGGCCTGCAACCAGGGGAGCCATGATCGGTCCTTGAGTAAGCATTGATAAGAGACAGCATGATCAGGCTAGAAAGGGAAGTACAGGCTCCCTTTGAAAACCCAGGGAGAAGTTCATTTCTTTAGTGATGGAACCCCTGGTAGACTGACCTCACTTCAGGGCAGGCTCCAATGCCAAAACTAGCTGGGCAACACAGACTGCACTCAGTGGGGAGAAAAGGAAAAAAATCTCCAAGTTAGGTGTGGAGGCATGGGAGGGTGGGGAGGGTGGTGATGGGAGGAGTCAGGGGAGGTGAATATGCTCAAAGACATTGTATGAGATTCTCGAAGAATGAGCAAAAAGCACTGCGGAGAGAATGACAGAGGGAGAGAGAACAAGAAAGCAAGAGTGCTTAAGGGAAAAGAGGCATTGGTGGCTGCCACAGACAGGGGGATAGGGTGGAGGAGGGGAGCAGAGCAGGAGCCTTCAGAGGAATTCCCAAACAAAGAAAAATATCTGACTTTTATTTCAGGGGGTTGGCAAGAAAGTCCACATCATGATGGTTTAGTTTGGGAGAGCCTACATGACAAGGAGAATGGGGGAGCCAAGTACAGGATAGGACCATAAACTGGAGGTTGAAAAAAATAACACACAACACAGATGCTTATTAATTATCTGTCCCCAGAGAAAGAAGGAGGGCAGCTGGAAGTTCACGGCCTGAGCTCTGTGTGCTGTAACATCTGGCCATTTACATGGACCAGCATCTTAGGAGCAGGCTTTGATCCTACAACATGGAACAGCATCATCAGGAGAGATCTCTGCAGGAATGAAATTGCCGTATCTCTTTGTCATCATCTAATGCAACAGCCACATGTGACTCCTGAGCCCTGAAGTAGGTCTGGTGAGACTGGGTAATAGGACTTGTATTTTTAGTTCACTCTCATTAATCTCATGTTAAATAGTCAGATGTGCCTAATAGCTACTTATCCCACAGCACAGACTTAAGAGGTTGCCCCGGGGATGGATCATGAGGGGCTGGGAGTAATTAATACACAGGACAAGAAATTAGGGAATTATTTTGCAAGCTGGGCTATGAGACTTTACGAAGAGTTGTCTCCTACCAAATCCATAGCAGACGGTGCAACATTTTTCCTCCCAGCTGAATGGGTCTGGTTGTGCACTGTGAAAGGCTGCCAGCTTGGTCAAGTTGGCCCAGATACTCCCAGAACCCCCAAACATGGGACACAAATGGCCTAAAATAACTCTACCCTGAGCCAGACTGTTGTGGACCATTACTTTAACTGTGTAAAGATGTGTTACATTTGTTTATGTTGTAGAGTCTTACAATAACAAGGTAGAGATGTGTTGCTTTGCCTGCCTAAGGCACCTGATTGATCTAATAAAAAGCTAAATGGTCAATAGCTGGGCAGTAGAGAATAGGTGGGGCTGGCAGGCAGACAGACTAAGAAGGAGGATGAATCTAGGAGACAGGAGGAGAGGAAGAGAATTCGGGACAAAGAAAGGAAGACACCCTGGAATCATCCAGGCAGCCGCCAGCCAGACATGGAGCAGGATACACAGAATGAAAGGTAAAAAGCCCTGAGGCAAAGCATAGATGAAGACAAACAGGTGAACTTAAAAGAACTGACAAGAATCGATCCTAAGTTAAGGCTGAGCACTCATAACTAATATTAAGTTTCATGTCATGATTTTGGAGCTGGTTGGTGACCCAAAAGGAAGCCTACTACACCAGACTCCTCCCCACCCACTTCTGCAAGACTAACCATGTGAGCCTGGGTCACACAATGGAGAAGCCCCAGCCAGCAGTGCTTTCTGAGCGTGAGGAAAAAGCAATGAAGTGGAAAGAAAGAAGGGAATGGAAATTAGGACCAGAGACAAAGAGAGGGTCAGGAGCCAGCAGGCACTAAAACACCAGAAGGACAAGTGGAAAAGCAAGAAATAGGGTAACAGGAGTGCAAAATGGGTAAGGAAGACAGCAGGAAGGAAGAAGTATTAGGAAGAAAGAAACCGGGTGGGCAAGGATCTAGGGATTGTGAGATATCCGGAATCATGCTGGGTGGGAGAGCTGTGTTGGATGCAAGAGTTCTTGAGCCCACCACACGGTAACAAGTGTTAAATACTTACCTCCTCGGTGGATGATCAGGAGATGACAGGGTGGGGCTTCTTTGGTGCATTTGTTGTGGCACTTTAACCTGAAAGACAGAGAAAAAGAAAGTTGGATGGGCTAACTGAATGGCTTGATGGACAGATGGACAGGTAGATAGATAGTTTGGTGGATGGATGGATGGATGGATGGATAGAGAAATAGAATGAGTAAGTGGATGGAGTGGATGGATGAGCTGAAAGGATAGTGGATAGATATAAATACAGACATAAACACAGATATAAATATGGGTAGACAAAGGGATGAACTGGTAAGTGAATGAATGGTTGGTGGGTGGAAGAATGGATGCATGAACTAATGGACGGATGACTGATGAATAGACAGGATGGATATAAATATGGATGAGTAGATGGTAGAAGGATAGGTGGATGAACGGATGGATGGATGGATGGATGGTAAAATAATAGAGGGAGCAGGTGAATATGCATATAGATAGATGAGTGGACAAATGAATGTATAAACTGGTAGATGGACAGAGGGTGGAGGGAGGGATAGAAGGATAAATGGAAGATGAATGAATGAATGAATGAATGAATGGGTGAGTGGGTGAAGGAATAAATAGATGGACAAATAAGATGCCCCAGTTATCTGAACATCTCCAGGCATTGTGGGTAGCAATGTGTGAGATGTGTGGAGGCAGCAAATGAAAAAGCCGATCCTTGACAACCCAGATGGTTAACTCTGGACTGAGGCTTCCAACGGGACTCTTCCAGTTCCACCCCGGGTGGCTCGAGAGTAAGTAGCAATTGTTTTTAACAATATCTGTGTTAGCTTTGTGCAATGAAATGTTCTTAGGATAGTGGTCTATATTCTTTATCACCATCACCATCACCATCATCATCATCAAAAGCAGCACTTCAATCTTAATCATCATTAACAACTACTCAAAGGGTCACTCACCAGCCTCTCTAGTAAATATTTTCCATACACTATTTCATTTGAATCTTACAACTGTAAGAAATATCTATTATTGTCATCCCCACTTTCTAGGTGGGGAAGTTGAGAATGAACTGACATGCTCTGGACAAACCACTAAGCCATTTTGTCCCACCGGTAGTCTCTCATCTATCCTAAAGCCTGAAGCTCCCAGGAGACGTCAAACCAAGGCTTACCTTTAGGATGAGGTCATTCTCAGGCACTCAACAGTGTTGAATATGAGTGAATTTCTCCCAGACAAACCCCAGGAGTCAGTCTTGATTTCCCACCACATTGCCTGATTGCCCGAGAATAATACCGCCCTTCCCCCAAGTTACTGCAGTGACTACACTTAAAGCAGAAGGATGGATAACCCCTGCGAGATACTGCACAAGGTCCATACAGATCCTCTCTGGAGTCCCCCAACATTTTGTGTGCCCCAGCCAAGCTTCCAACAGTTAACATCTTTGTCAGGTGACTGCCCTCGGGCTCCTAGCATCTTAGGGCTGAACAGAACATCCCACCAACCACATAGAGGTTAGAGTATGCTTCTTCTCTCCAAAGCTCTGAATTTCTGTCTCCATATAAGGTTAAAACACCTAGGCACAGGTCAGAGCACAGGTTCCACCCAGGAACATCAGTGTGTTCTGGAAACTTCTCTGGGATTCTCTGCAGAGGGGGCATCTCTGAGGCTAGACTAGAACAAGCCCTGAAGTGACCCAGATGTGCATGATGCAGGGGAACCACAGATCTACTTTGTAGTACCAGTTTTCCCAAATTTTTTCACCGTCTTTCCTGACTCTGAGAAAGGTGCTGCATTCATCTCTGATATAAAGACTTTAGACCTGGGGCCCTTCAGCACACAGAGGGCAAGCCAGGTGGAACCTGGGTAGCTCAAACCATCGAGAAGCTGAACTCTCCTTTTCCATCTGACCATACATGATGGTGGGGTAGACTTCAAATGCTCACCCAGCCCCAGATGCAGATGGACAACAGACATTAGGACAGGAATCCCATCACTGTCTTCATCTGACTTATGTTTTCGGGTCATCTTACATGAATGCAAAAGGTATTGTCTTTCCACTCACAGTAAAGAGGAGTTTTCATATTTAAATAAACTCACTGCTATGGCTAAAGTCTGATTGTCCCCCAGAGGCTCATGTTTTGAACATTTGGCCCCCAGCTGGAGGGTACTAGTTTGAAGGCTGTGGGGTCTTTAAGAGGCAGTGGCCACCAAGGGGTGGGCTTGGAAGGGCATGCCTGCCCTGGGTCCCGACTGTTTTTCTACTTCCTGCTTCTTGTTACATGAACATGCTACTCTGTGTGCTCTCACCATGTCTTCTCGCCCTGATGAATGAAACCCGGCACTGTGAGTCCACATAAATCTTTCCACTCTTCAGTCACCCCTTCCATTGACAAAAGAACACAGTATACTTCAGCCAAAAGGGCAGTAATAAGGTCAGGCATGGTGGTGTACACCTGTAAGCCCAGCACTCGGAAGGCTGGAATCTTTGCAAATTTGGCAGCCTGGGATACATTCCTAGTCCCACTACTTTGTAAGGGTTAAATGATACCATGCTTGTAAAGTGTTAACACAAAATACCTGCAGTGTTGTGACTTCAGGTATGTGATATCACCAGCATCATCACCACAATCACCATCATTACCATCATCACCATCATCACTACTATCACCACCATCATCATAATCACCATCATCACCACCACTATTGCCATTGCCATCATTATCACCATTGCCATCATCATCATCATCATCATCACCATAATCATCACCATCATCACTATAATCATCACCATCATCACAGCATCGCCATCATCATGCCCACCAACATCTATGATCCCCACCATCTCCACAATCGCCCACCACCCCACCATCATACTGTCACCAGATCCAATTCCCACTTCAGCTTCTGGGATAATTATGACCACCCCTCATGTATCAGGGTAATCAGACCCCAACAATTTATGTATGATAGTGAAAAGATGTACACGAGGGACGATTAATTCCCAGGACGGCTTCTGCAAGAAGTGAAGTGTTTCTATTCGTGGAAAAGTGAGTTTGAGCTTGAAGTGGGTGATCTCCAAAACGCATGCTCATAATTATATCCTGCCAACATCCTGCCTGCTGGGCAGCCTCCCGGGCCTCCAGGAACTCCACAGCAGCTGCAGAAGCTGCGCCCATGGGTCTCCAATTTGGTTCAATTGGAGCTCACAGAGATCAACTCCGGTGTTGCCCCTTGTGGCACCTATGTGAGCAGGTCACTCTGAGTGTCATTCCTGTTTTATTTTATGATGCTGTCCCATGCCTGCATCGTTTTATTTCTTCCCATGTGAGCTATCTCTCCCCTCAAGTACAGGATTTCATCTGCTTGTTTGCTGTAGGTCCCTAGTACCTGGTGCACGCCATTTCCATCTTAGCTCATTAAAACCTGTGGGATCATCAGGGTTTGATTCAACACTAGAACACAGACCCTCCCCCAAGGTTGGAGAGTCTGAGGGTCTCAGCAGAGAAAGGGCTAAACCAGAGCAATGAAAATTGTATTAACTTGAGAAGATTAGTGGGAACCAGTGGTATCTTAGGTATGTCTCCAAGAAGAGCATTTTGACCCACATTTTTGTCTCCCAGGATGGGAAGTCAGGAGACACAGCACATAAGAACTGAGCTCAGGCTCTTGCTCCTCACTTGCTCTCTGACCCTGGCTGAGTCCCAGTCTCTCACTCTATAAAATGGGGGCACCTATCATCGCCACTGCTTAGAACCATCGATGAAACTGAGGGGACAAAGTATGGCACCCAGAACATCACCTCATGCACTGCAATCCAGCCCTGCATTAGTCACCCTTCAGCTTGAAGGACAAAATACCTGGCAAGGGTGGCTTAAGTAGAGGGAGTTTATGTTGGCTCAGTTTTGAGGGCACACTCCATCCCAATGGGGAAGACAAGGAAGTAGGAGCCTGAGAGGGCTGTCACGTGGCACCCACGGTCAGGAAGCAGAGAGAGATGACCTTTGTCTTCAGTCGGGAACCCCAGCCCTTGGGATGGCGCTGCTCACGTTCAGAGTGGGTCTTCCCACTGCAGTTAAGCCTTTCTGGAAACATCCAGAGAACACATCCAGAGGTGTTTCCAGGGTGATTCTGAATCAGTCAATTTGACAATTAAATTAAGCTACCACATCCCTGAGTGTCAGCTCTTGCTGCTTTGAGGGTCATGGTTTGTCAATCTGCCAGTCATCTGTACCTTTCAACTTCTCTATCCTTCCAGAGGCAAACCCTGTTCTTTATGAAGATTCCCAATTATCAAAATCAGTAGTCCCTAACCTGCGCTATTATTATGTAAACACGTCTACTTTTCATGCATGCTAATCAGGTATATCAACGACTCATGCTGTGACATTCCGATCCATGTATCCCATAAGTAACAATCGTGTCAGGGTTTCTGACTCGTCCTGCAATTTATGTACCATTTAAAGGGTCCTCTATCACTATCCCCATGTTACAGACAAGGAAACTGAGGCCTCGGGAGTAAATGCCTGGCACAGAACCTCACAGAGGGTACATCAGTTGTTAAAACACAGGTCTCCCCGATTCAAGATCAGATACTTAACTAACTAGTTTGTGAGGGCAAGGGTTGGCCACATAGTAGGACCACAGTCACTCCTGCCTGGCTCTCTGCTTCCCCTTGAACTTCCCACAAAGAGCAGAGTGGGGAACCTGGGTTCAGCCCTGACCCCAGACCAGAGCCTTTCTCACAGCCTCTGTGACCCACCTGCCACTCCACTCTCCCTCATTCATCGTCCCTGGAAGTGGGTGATGCCCGTGCTTGCCTTTCCTTGGATTGTGAGAGTCTAGGGTCTACCCTTCCCCTCCCCCATTCTCTCATGGAGAGAAGAGCTCTAAGGTGTCATTATGCTGTCCCAGGGTCATCGGGTCTGAGTCACAGATCCATGCCACCACCACACCCCATCGTTTATGTGGAGTCTTCCTTTAGGCAATCTCAGGCTGACAAGCTAGTCCCTGATGGACTGTTGGGCAGTCAGGGAGAGAATGGCCAGTCTCCTACCAAGGCCTTTCTAGAAACAGTGGCTCAAACGAGA